TTGACCCGAAGCAGGACTTGAAAGATTCAAAGCTGAAAAGTTGTCTGCAAGTGTTTGGTCAACTCGACTTGCAGGTAAAAATGGTTTAGCACCTTGAGATAATGGGCTGGTAAAATTGTTGCGAGTTCGTGCTCTTGGTCTCTGCAAGAAAATTTTAAAATGTCAAATAAAAATGTATGAAAAGGTAAGAATGACATATACCCACACAGGTATCCTGTTACTTCTACAAACTTATTCATATTGTTAATACTAATTAAGAATGTTATATATATATATATATATATATATATATATATATATATATATATAAATTAATGAAAAGGATAGCAAAAATTCTACAGTTTAATTTGGTAAAATTTATTTTACACCACAGAAAATGTTTTAGCTTATACTAGGTATTGCAATTAGTAAACATGTTAGGATCATTCAAAATTTATAAAAACTTTGAAATTTTTCATCTCGTGAAACTTGTTTCGATGAATACATGCTGGCTAAAGATGTTTATATCTATTCACCTATCTAGGAGATGATTGTGGTTTCACCTAATATTTACAAGATGGTACAAAAGAATCAATGCTGGCTTTAATCCAAGAAGAAACTACTGTGGCACAAATTTTGCACTCCCTTATTTTCACCAAATGGAAAAATGTAAGGATACTGGAAGAACTAAATAGTTCATATTCAATGAATTATGTTTAAAAGAAAGGTTGCTGCCCAAATATAAATTAATTATATATATTTTTAATTTATTTTTTTAAATGTTATATTAGTTTTACTATTACCTATTATTATTATTAATAAATAATATTAATAATAATAATAATAAAATTGTTAATATTAGTATTATTTTATCACTGCTTACCTATTGTTTTTTTATTATTGGTATTTTCTTTTAAAGAGTTTACCGTAAGCAAAAATAGTTATCCCCCTTGATCCATAACATATTTAACTATCAGAGTTCTAAGCTGTTTACATTTTAAATTTGAATTTTTTTAATTTTAAAGATAAATTTGAACTTAAATTTAAATAACACAAATATTTAATAACAGTAATAATTTACCCAACTAACACAGCAAAACCTAGAAATTTTAACCAGATAATGGCCAATTCTTTTATACCCGATGATTGCATACCGCATGAAACTCCATCATACTGTCTGCATGGGGCATATATATATATATATATATATATATATATATATATATACGCGCATCTCCTAACACACCCCAAAACCCGAACCACACAAATTTTACATTTAGCAAACCATCTCTCTTTCCATCTCTCTATAACATAGTGTATCCACTCATCCTCTCTCTTTCTCTCTCACTCTGTAATAGTAGTCACTGACTAAAAGAGCAATTAGGTCAGACAGGCTGATGACCTAGCAAGATCTAAAAACAGATTTTCAAATGTACTGAATCACATGATAATGTATCAAATGTTGAGCAGGAAAAGGTATTAGTTAAAATCTGAGTCTTAAGCAAGTAACATTTTTTAAACTTATTACTATCAAACAAAAGAAGCTGGACAATGAAGACGAGTTCCAATCCAACTCAACACACTATGCTGCACATATCAAGTGCACAGGTGAATTACTAAGCATGATAATCACCTAAGACAGGCATGTGTGACCCACTCAATTGGATGCAGGCTAAGACTTATACAGTGCTGAATCTTCCTACCTTAACAAATATATTGCTGAATATGTGAAGAAGATAACAGTTAAGAAAGAATAATATAACAAAAGATAAAATGAACAAAATGAACTGAAGCAAAAAGAATGAAAGAGAAATATAAAACAAAAGAAAGAGAGAGAAAAGGGAAAAGAGAAAACCTTATTTTATTTCAGACAAATGACTAAAGTGAAGTGGGCTTTAACTGTTCATATCAGATATATAATGCATACATCTTTCCAGACAGAAATGTATAGTGAATATCTTCCCATGCACTATTTTGCATTAATATTTTCATGTATTGTCTTGTTATAATTAAATCTTATTAACTTGTATATATTGGTGTTAGTTGTTTGTTACTGTTGATCGTTTCTCTTCATCCTTATATTTGAACCTGTAAGAGAATCCATCCACTATGGAGTAGTAAACCTTGGTCATCTTTGACAACCAATAATTTTTAATCTTTTTTTTTTTAATTTTGTGTTGTGGCAATAGGTTAGTAACACTATCTATATATATATATATATATATATATATATATATATATATATATATATATATATATATATATATATTTTTCTATGAAAGCATTTTTTGAAACAGTTTAGACAATTATGTCTATTTTAATTTTCTCAAGTTCATAGATTAATTTCTTTATGCCTGTTAAAAATGATCAAGAAAAATGCAGTGATTATTAATCATGCAATTTTTATTTTCCCCAAGTACTTTCAATATCATCTGCGATTATATTCAGGGGGTTGAATTTCTAAGACAAAGAGTTGGTATGCATTATGAATATGTGAGCATGAACACTGTAGAATTTGAAAAATTTTTAACCTCTATATAAGGGAGGTAACTTATGTAATTTCTTGTTACAATTGTAGTAATGTTATAAAATATTTTTAATTGTAGTTTTTGACAATTGCAATTATTTTTAAAAAATCTTTATTATGTTTTAGAACTTGTTGCTATATTCATAATTGACTTTATTTTTGCCCATAATTTTTTTCATATAAAGGGCTTCTAGAATTTGAAGTTTTTGTTTATTATTTTTGTGGTGGAGTATAGTTATGCTGATTAATCTGTCTAAACTGTGAATGTGCACAGGAATGTTCCTCTAAATGATGTGAAATCGAGCTATAATTGTTCAGGTGAAATGTAAGTCTCCTTGACCTAGCTGTAGTAGTAAAACCAATGTATATATTAATATTTTTATCAGAGATACAATCTTCTAAAGAGCATTTAAATTGATATATGATGTTGGTCTTTTGTAAAACGCTAGTTGATGGAGAAGAGTTATTGTGATGATTAAGCTGGGTGTATTAAATTTAGTGGAGTATATAATTAGTTTTATTTTTTTTACTAGAAACAGTGAGGGATATATTAGTACTTATGAGATTTTTTTTAGAATTTTTTCATCCTGTTTGTAATTACAGTGTATTTGATTGCAGTATAGTAGTTTGATATGTTTAGGGTTATTTGATGATGCATTATATTCTTTTTGATTTATGTGAATATTTCCAATAGCTCATTAAATTTGTTTAACATTAAAAGTTAGGAAAGTCATTATTACTGAGAGTTTGATATTTTTTAATTCAGTGTAGAAAATTTTTTTTGTTGAACAATTAGCTTTTGGACGACTTATTAAATTTTGTATAATAGATATTTTGTAATAGGACGTTAACTTTTGTATTTGAGAGAGCATATGTTTATGCTAGTTGGTTTTTATATGGAGAAGTAGTGAATGTATTATCATTAGTGTCTACCAATACATCAAGAAAAGGGATTTTATTGTGATATTCATATGTGAACTTACGGATAGAGTTTTTTGGAAGTGTTTTTGTAGTTCATGTATTGCATCTATGATTTGATCGAGATGAGAATATCATCTATATATCTTAGGGTTTTTTAGTGCTATTAAATATTTTACTTTTTTTAAAGGTTAGCCATATAAAAGTTACTAAAGGTTGATCTCAGAACTGAACACATGGAAAAGCCATCACATTTTATGCATACATTATTTTGATGGTCATAGAAGGGAACCTCAGTGGTACACATCAAGAATAGTTTTCATATGTTAGGTCTAATTTTTAATGGAAGGAGAGATGGATTGTTGTAGATTTCTCTGACTGGGACATTGGTAAATAAACTTTCAACGTCAAATGAGGCTATGGTTTCATTATTAGGTTTTTGTTTTTTTAGGATTTGGAATAGTTCCTGAGTTGATTTAATGCTATATTTATTAGGTATGTATGGTGTAATTAGTTGGTTAATGATTTTGGTTATTTGGTAAGTGGGGATATAGGATATGAGAGAAGTTTGATGATTTTCAATTTCAGTTAGTTACCTTATAAATTTGGTGTGGTTGTTGGACACATATACGCACACATGTTAAAAATATATATTATACTTTATTTTTCCATATTTTTTGCTACACGAGTTTCCGGTCTTGCAACCTTTATCAGGCAAGGAGTGGTTATTTCCACATATTATTAAAAGAAATTAATTTTCTTATGTTTTTGATGTTTAAACATTGTCTTTTGTCTTCAGTAGTAGCCCAAATGTTTTTCTTTAACTGGTGGTGAAAGTATTCTTCTGCTTGAGGGGTAATAAAACAATTAAGATTGGTCAGAGAAAGGGCAAAAGAAGGTGGTATTTGTTCTTATTTTATGACACCTGTATCTTAGACCTATCTCCATTAAAGTTATTTATGAAGTTTTTTTCTTGTATTTGTAGGTAAGAATAATTGTTTGATATATTGCATAATTTTAAATTTACCTTGATTACATTTGTAGATGTATTGTGATAGAAAAATTTTCTCTTGTCTGGTAATTTGATGTTGCTTTAGTTGTTTAGTGCTTGGCTGATACCTATATATGACTTGTATTTTGTGCATAAATCACATTTTTGAAGTCGCAGTTAAAATTTTACTTATCCTGAATATCATTGTGGGGTTGTTATATATATATATATATATATATATATATATATATTAGGTGCCTCCACTTTTTCGGCATAAATTTTCAATACCTAAGGTTTAAGATGAATTTTTGAAAATGAAAAAGCATTCTTGAAGATTTCATTTTAGCTTAAATTGAAAGCTAAAAGGATTAAATTTATTATTTCCAATAAATAAAATATTCTAGTGTATTTCAGATAGAAATTATATAGATTGGAATGTCAAATATTTGCTCGATTTCTTAAAATTTTCTTGAAAGCAGCCATTTTCTTAATTTTAAGAAATTTGTAAACAAATTCATTGATTTTAAAACTCTTCAAAAAAAAAAAAAATTCTGACACGTCATTTGAGTAAAATTAGAAAATTTAAATTTAATTTGAAATAAATATTGCTTATTTATAGCATAATAAAGTAATATACATTCATTTCTTAACGATGGATCCTATCTTTATTGAAGTATCAGTAAGTTTTTGAGGTGATGACAGGTCTTATGGATGATCAGAATTGAC